CCCCTCCCACCTCCCCCTGAGCACACTCAGATCACTGCTCACCTCCCCCTGAGCACACTCAGATCCATTCCCACCTCCCCCTGAGCACACTCAGATCACTGCTCACCTCCCCCTGAGCACACTCAGATCCATTCCCACCTCCCCCTGAGCACACTCAGATCACTGCTCACCTCCCCCTGAGCACACTCAGATCCATTCCCTTACCCCCCTGAGCACACTCAGATCACTGCTCACCTCCCCCTGAGCACACCTGACCCACACTCACCCTCCACTGAGCACACCCAGACCCACACTCACCTTCCCCTGAGCACACTGATATCACTGCTCACCTCCCCGTGAACACACTCAAATCGCTGCTCACCTCCCCCTGAGCACACTCAGACCCACACTAACATTCCCCCTGAGCACACTCAGATCCCCTGCTTACCTCCCCCTGAGCACATTCAGATCACTGTTCACCGCCCGCCCCCCCACCGAGCACACTTAGACCCACACTAACATTCCCCCTGAGCACACACAGATACCCTGCTCACCTCCCCCTGAGCACACTCAGATCCATTCTTACCCCCCTGAGCACACTCAGATCACTGCTCAGTTTCCCCTGAGCACACTCAGATCCACTCTCACCTCCCCCTGAGCACACTCAGATCCATTCTTACCCCCCTGAGCACACTCAGATCACTGCTCACCTTCCCCTGAGCACACTCAGATCACTGCTCAGTTTCCCCTGAGCACACTCAGATCCACTCTCACCTCCCCCTGAGCACACTCAGATCCACTCTCACCTCCCCCTGAGCACACTCAGATCCACTCTCACCTCCCCCTGAGCACACCTCATATTTTCCCCAACCAAAAAAACACACTCAGATCCAATTTCACCTCCCCCTGAGCACACTCAGATCCACTCTCACCTCCCCCTGAGCACACGCAGATCCACTCTCACCTCCCCCTGAGCACACCTCATATTTTCCCGCCTCAAGGCCTTCTTCTCATGCTGTTTTCACTCAGTTTTCCCCTTGTGTGCCGTCCCTGCTGGCTGAAATCCTGCTTGTTCTGAAAGATCATGGCAAACCCCAGCACTTCCCAACTGCCTCACTCTCCCCCTAAGAACCCATCGTGCGTGGGTGGGGAGCGGAGAACCTCCCACTGAGCATACTCCTGTTGCGGGCAGGAGGATCTAGATTGTAGGGCTCACTGGTGTGACCGTGGCTGATTTCACATGTCTGCGTTTGCACTCGCTCACTCATGACACGGGAATAATCTTATCCTCTAAAGAAGGGGCTCCATGGGAGCCAGCCTTGCATGCTGCCTGGCCATCGCCAGAGCACTGCACACATCAGGTCCTCACTTCCCACAGCTCCCCTCTCCTCCTTCACTCTCTGGGGAGGTGCCAGATGCTGCTTTGCTCTCTTAGCTGTAGGAGAGTTCCAGAAGCCCCAGGGAGAACTGCCTCTTCACGGATTTACCCCCCACCACCACCACCAAACTGCTTGACTGGGGAGGATGCAATCTTGTCCATCTTTTTAATTAACTGAGGGGCGAGCACAGTGCTGTACAGTACAGGGAATGGATAATTCCTTGGATGAACTGCTTAGGGCCCGTCCCCACCCAACTACACCTAAGGATGGAGGGTAAAGGCTGGATTCTGGCTTCTCATCCTGCCCCCACTGGGAGGGACTACACTATGCCGGATGCCTTTCGGCCTTCTGATGGCTTATTGCCTCAATAAATCCTTATTCTGCATAATGTACTGTGCTGAGGACGGGGGAGGGGGCACAGACAGGCTATTTCCACATCTGCAGCACTTGCTACCCAGCAGATCCATGGCACAAGCATCAATAGTACAGTCTGGACCAGCTGTGATATGTGCCAGAGGGCAAGGGCGGTGCAGCCCAGGAGACCAGCACAGTGGACACCGCTGCTGCCCCCGGAGAGCGGGGAAGTCACGGGGCAGGCAGGGCGACTACGGTCCGGAGGGCATGCTAGGCCGTGGGAACGTCATGAACAGAGATGGACACGCGCGCTTGCTGAGTGGCCAGGACCGCAGTTTGCCAGCGTCTTGAAGAGGAGCTGTAGGGCTGGAGCTGGGAAGGGCCTTCTCAGGACTGAGCAGGAGCCAGGAAAGCCATGTGCTTGCTAGCGACCGACCGTGTGACAGGATCTGGGTGTGCGGTAGGTGAGGCAGGCTGAAGAAACGGACATCGTGGAGCAGGGGTGGGTGGTGCGTCAGGAGGCAGAGAGACCATTTAGAAGCTGTGCAGCGGTTGAGGCACCCGGTGAGGGCTGGCAACGGTGTTCCCGAGGAAGCAGTCGTGGCGAGGGGGTGAGAGCTGAGACCAGACGGCTCAGAGGGACAGCAGGGAGAGCAGGAGAGTATGCCCCTATGAAGAGGAGGCAGGAGCGAGAAGGTCGGAGCAGGGGAGGCGGAGAGGGCGAAGGCAGGACAGCGCTGGCAGGCTGAGCGAGGAAAGAGCGTCACAAAGGGTGGTCCTCGCGCGGCGGGCCCGTGAGGCTGAGGACACCAGGTCCGAGGCAGGCTTTTTGGCTTGGTGACTGGGAAGCTGCCGCCATGGGGGTCTCAGGGGCGGGGCCGAACGGAATGACATGAGTAGAAGCCAGTTTGCAACCACTAACAAGCGTGGACTCCACCTCTGACTTCCTGCTTCGGCCCCTCTCTGCCTCATCTGGCCTTTTGGAGGACAGGACAAGGAGGAGAGATCAATATAGAAGCTATTCTTAGCTCAGTCTTGGTGATCCCAAACGGGCACAGGACCTGAGGCACGCCGCTGCCACCTCCCTCCGCCTGTCACCTCCTCCCTGACACGGACAGGTTCTTCTTGCCCTAAGTCCCCCTCCCCCCATCCCCACACTGGCTGAGGATCTTCGGGCACACAGAAGCAAGCAGGGTGCTGGAGCCAGCAGCGGGCTGGCCGAGGCCAGGGGAAGCCTCCCTCCTACCCCACGTTCATGCTTTACACCCCCCACCCCTCCGAGGGCCCTTGATTAGAGACCCACTCTTCCCACCTCTTCCTGTGAGCATCTTGGAAATGGCCAGCTCAGAGGGAATGAGCTGAACAGACACCCCCACCCCCCACCCCCGCCGCCCCGTATGCAGAGGCACCCGGGAAAGAGCCGGTCTCTGCAGAGGCACTAAATGGTGCGGTGAGCCAGGGACCCAAGGCCACACGCAGGCCTGAGACCTGCCAGGCTTGGGGTGGGGCGCGGGCACCCTGAGATGGCATAAGCCTCCAAGCTGCCGTGCTCCCTCACCGTCCCCCAGTTTGTCCCTCTCGGCCAGGTCTCACCTCAAAAAGCAAGCAAGGAAACAGTGAGGGCTTTCTGGAGCGGGCCCCCAGAGGCCTGTCTGTGCTGGGGAGGTCAGAGAGGGAGGGAGGGAGGGCCGAGAAAGGCAGAGAAGAAAGCAAAGGCCAGACAAAGGGCCCGTCCACCTTTGAAGCCGTCTCTAACCCAAGCCAGGGAAGGTGGGGGTGGGTCTGGGAGCCTGGCAGGGGGAGGCGGTCTAGAGTTTTAAAGAATGTCTCAAATTCCTTCGGAAATCAGAGGGATTGTAAGACCTGCCCCTCCCCAACACACTTCCTTCCCAGGCCCCCCAAGTCCAGGCCTCCACACCTGGGGGCGCCAACCCTTTGTCTTCAGGTAATTGCTGGGCGTTGCCCCGAGTTTAAAATCCCATTGATCTTGCCAGTTATCAGCTGTGGCTCTAGACCACCCTCCCCTCACCCCCTTCCCACCTCCGC